TGAGATTGCTCACAACGATTCCTCCAAGAACCGCAAAGCCATCCTGGAAAGAGCAGCCCAGCTCACCAGTTCCAACACCAAGGCTGAGCAGTGAAGAAAATGAAAAGATAGTTGATGTGCACGTTTTTTGTGTGCTTAATCACAAAAACTGCCAAAAAAAAAATGAATGAAGTATGGATACATACTACAACAAAGACAAGCCTTGAAGACCTATGCAAGCTGGGCATGGTGGCACACACCTGTAATCCCAGTGGCTCAGGAAGCTGAGGCTTGGGAAGCTGAGGTTCAGGAGGCTGAGGCAGGATTGCGAGTTTGAAGCTAGCCTCAACAACTTAGCAAGGCCCTAAGCACCTCATGGAGGCTAGGTCTCTAAAATATTTTAAAAGGTTGGGGAGGGGCTAGGGATGTGGCTCAGTGGTTAAGTGCTCCTGGGTTCAGTCCCTGGTTACCAAGAAGAAAACTTATGCAGAATGAAAGAAGCTAGATATAAAAGGCCACATATAGTATGATTCCACTTATGTTGTTCAGGGTTGGACGGAGGTGGCAGGGGATTGGACATCCGTGACTGCTGATTGATACAGAGTTTGTTTTTAGAATGCTGAAAATATTTTTAAATTAGTAATGAGAGTTACACAACTAGGAATTCACTAATATTCAGTGAATAATATGTTTAAACTTTTTAAATTTGTTTTTCTGGATGAATAGTCTATCATCTGATAAATTATACACTTTAAATGCATACATTTTATAGTATGTAAATTTTATCTTAGTAAAGCTTTTAAAAAGAAATGTATTGACAACTACTTAGAGAAAGCAAAATCATGTTCTGCCCTTCCAGTCCTACCCACCTCTACCCAGGTAGATACAGGCTCGAGCCTGTTAATAACCCATGGGCAGTCAGAGGTGGGGGTCTTTAAGTCGGTYATTTGCCCAGTGTCTGTCACATAACTGTGTTCTAACTGTTCCTGTGCCTGAGGGGAGTGTCCTCCATCGATTTTAGCCAGTGTCCATACTTGGGAAGTCATTATGTTGTCCAGGATGGTTGGGCAGGCTGGATTACTGATTACTGCCTCTTGCTATTCCACACATGCACTTTATAGGTGAACTTTAGAACCCTGTTGTGACAGCCTCATCCCACCCCTGCCTTCACTAGTAAGAAACCTGATGTGATTCTGTCCAAGTTATATTAATTTTGTGTGTATGGTTTTGGGACACTCGACATYTTGTGTGTGTTTGTTACTGAGGATAGAACCCAGAGCTTCCCACATGCTAGGCAAACACTATACCACTGAGCATCCTTAGCCCGAGATTTGACAAGTTTATATCTAGTCTCCCTACCCAGGACTATAGTACATGGTTTCTTTCTTTGTTTTGAGATCTTATTTTTTAAAATATTTTTATTTGTAGATGGACACGATACCTTTATTTTATTTATTTCTATGTGGTGCCAGGGATTGAACCCAGTGCCTCACACATGCTAGGCAAGCGCTCTACCACAGAGCCACAACCCCTCTATTTTTATTCATTTACTTTTATGTGGTGCTGAGGATCAAACCTCACATATGCTAGGCAAGTGTTGTACCACTGAGCTAGAACCTTAGCCCTTGGGATCTTATTTTTATGTCCTTTAATAAAGTTTTATAGTTTTGGCCTTTTTTTTTTATGGTGGTGGTACTGGAGATTGAACCTAGGGGTTCCCTACCATTGAGTTACATCCCTTAGTACTTTTTTTTTTTTTTTTTTTTTTTTAATTTTGAGACAGGGTCTCATTAAGTTGCAGCTTGCCTTGAACTGGTGATTCTCTTGCTTCTGTCTCCCAAGGAAGGAGGTGCCGCTCACCCAGCTCCTAGTTTTACCTTTCTTATTAAATTTATTTCTAGTTTTTATGAATTGGATCATTTTAATTTCAGTTTTTAATTAGTTAGAGCAATAAAGCTATTGCTTTTTAYATATTAAGGTATATGCATCTTACATTATTTCATCTTATATTATTCCTTTAGTACTAGCATTTGTTTACGTGTGTTTCTTGGACTTTCAGGGAAAGTCACCCCTAAGTTTTTCTCTTATTTCCCAAGATACTGTCCTAATCTTGCTTTMTTTTCCTTTCTTGATTTTCCTTTACTGGGTCTTCTTCTTGTACCTGTGTTTCAAGGAATCTCCACCTGGAAATACCAAGAATATCTAAAGCTCATAATAAAATTAAACAAGTTACACTTAAACCCTTCAGAGCTGCTTGCTGCTAGACAATGCAGCACATTTGTACAGATTAGAGGACGGCTCCCCTTTGTGTTGATGCTTTACTCTCACCTCTTGGGAAGACGATCTTAATTAACTGATTCTGTTGAAATATGACACATCACTGCAGAAAATGTAACAAGTCTGTGGCTATCCAGGGTCTCGCAGGTTGGTGCTCTTTAGATGAGGAGCCCTGCGGGGTGTCATCCAGCCAAACATTCACAGCAGTGCCGCCCCSGTCTATGAATTTGCCTTTCCTTCAAGCCCACTACCTCTGCCATTTAGTCTCATTGTTTCACATCTCTTCACGGGACCCCAAAAGGGGAAAGTCAGAATATAACTAGGTCGTCCTCTTCCCAGTCTCTCTTAGGGCGCTCTCATCCCAACTCGGAATAATGTCCCTAGAACATCAGGAAACCCCTGCTGAAAAGCCTCATTGATGGATCAATTTCCTCATTTTTCTCTCAAGAGTCAGATGCGCTTCAAGCCCTGGAAGCCCTATGGCAGTGTTCCCTTGGGCCCCTTGCCCAGCGTCCCCTGTCACACTCTTAACTTTTAGTTTTTATCTATAAGGTCAAAGTAATGAGGCCTTCTCCGCAACCACATGGTACAAATCAAACAGTATAGTACGCAGAAATGGCACATGCAGGGCCAGGTTCTTGTTGCATTAGCTTCCTTTTCTTCCCAACTACTTTGGAAACTGAAACGTGGTGTGTAATGGTAACGTGTTGTTATAATTATTTGTGCTTCATGGTGTGTCCATTATGTGGAGTTCTTGTATTTTGGCAAGAATTCATTATTTTTGACTCCTAATAAGGAACATTTGAAAATATTCCAGAAGGAAAAAAGTGTACACTTTGCAACCTTAGTGTATCACAGAAACAGGTGACTCTATAAGTTTATTCCGCTGGCCCTGGAGGCCCCTGGCGAGCCCTGTGGGAGGAGAGGCCCCCTTGCACCTGCAGTTGTCTGGTTGATAGATTGACCAGGAGGAGAGCTCCTTGAGGACGCCCAGTGCTATCTGTGAGGGATGTGCTGGTCACAGACCTTCCCTAGAGGGGAGTCCCATCCCTCTGCTACTGCCTTAACGAACACCAAGATGAAGTGTTTACTACTGATTACAGGAAATGTTTGGTGAGGGCTGGGGTTGTGACTCAGCGGTGGAGCGTTCACCTAGCACATGCAAGGCCCTAGGCTCAGCACCACATAAAAATAAATAAATAAAATAAAGGTATATAAAAAAAGAAAGAAGATATTTTGTGAATAAGGGTCAGTTTCTAAATGAGTTTATTAGTTTAAAAACTTCGGTTCACCTCACACAGTAGGGCACACCTGTAATCCCAGCAACTTGGGAGGCTGAGGCAGGAAGATTGCAAGTTCTAGGTCAGCCTGGACAACTTAGTGAGACCCTTTCTCAAAGTAAAATGGTTGAGGGGCTGGGGATGTGGCTCAAGTGGTAGCGCGCTCGCCTGGCATGCGTGCGGCC